GCTAGAGTGAGGCTCCTCTCTCTCTTCCACTCTGAGGATACTCCTTGTTTCTTTGGAACTCCCTTTCCATGGCAAGCACACTTCCTGTGTTCTCAGCCTCCTATAGCCCCTGTTCCTGCTCTGACCCTACCTGGCACCCAGCTCTCTGAAGGCGTCTCTCAGGCAGCTCCTCCCACACTCCCCACAGGGCAAGGTGGGGGCTAGCATTCCTCTTCCACATTCTAGAAGGCTTATTCCATCTGACTTTCCCCTTCTCTGCCTCTCCAGATCCTCCTATAGAGGAGCTGCCTTTCCTTCTAAGCTGCCCCTTGCCTCCTTCTGACTTGAATTAATTTTAACTTTCTTTCTCTAGCCCTTCTTAGTAGGATCTGTCCCATGGTCTGGGAACTCTGGGAAGTCATGTGCCAAAAGGGAGAGAATTTTAGCTTTCACAGGGCTAGCTAATTTCAGTCTGTGGGACAATTTCTCCTGAGGAGAATGAAGAATATCCAATGCAGTGGGCCAAATCTTGTAGGCAATACACAGTAGTGCATGAGGACTGTGAATTCAATTTGAAAACTAAGAAGTTTTGAAATGGTTCATATCAAACCAAGAAATGAAAAGTCTGGAAGTGTCATCTTCAAGTGGACAAAACAACGGACTGGATATTAAGACATGTGCATTTTAGCCTCACTTCTGTCACCAATGAGCTTCGTGAGACTAGGGAAGGCTTCAGTTTCCTTATCTGGAACATTAGACACAGCATTTTCTAGACATTAGTTTTTTTAACAAGGCCAATTTTTCTTCCAGCCAAAAGCTAGGGGCACCTGGGTGGCGCAGTTAAGTGTCCGACTCTTGGTTTCTGCTCAGGTAGTGATCTCAGGGTCGTGAGATGGAACCCCGCATTGGGCTCCATGTGGAGTCTGCTTAAGTCTGCTTAAGATTCTGTCTCGCTCTTCCTCTGCCCCTCCCCCCCGCTCTCTCTTTCCCTCTCTCTCAAATAAATGAATGAATCTTTTTTTTTTTTTTTTTTAAAGCTTATACCTAAGTCTAATATGTAAAATAGCTAAGGACAGAGCCATTCCCTGGGGCTGGGGCTCCCAGCCCGACTCCCCTGGAGCCATCCCCTCACTCCCACCAAGTGGCCTGAGAAGTCAATAGGAACATTTGGAGAGATTGAGAGATGAGAGGTGAAGTCTCTTGAGTTCTGATTTTTTATGGTTGAACATGGAAATCTGTCTTGCTTGATAGGACACCACCAGGAGCAACAAGGAACTAACACAGGGATGGATTAGCACCTAAAGACTTCTTTGGGAAAAAAACACAACAATCTGGGTTATTTTAACATAACCTCTGATGTTGGAAGAGGGTTCGCGGGACAATCTGGAAATTAGCTTTAAGCTTGACGTAAATTTTGAAATCTCTACTTTTCCGTCTCCTTCTTGAGGCCCTTACTTTTGGGAGCCCACAGCAGTTTCTACTTTGCGATGCCCCGTCACACGTGTCATCTCGAGTGCACGTGTGTGAATGTCCTCACTGCTCCCTACTGTCCTGGAGATGGCAATTTGGTGGGGAGCCCACATCGTTCAAAGATTTCATTCTCACCAAGAAAAGGGAAGAGAGTTAACTACCTCTGTTTGAATCTTGATGTCAGAGGAACATTAAGTTTTCACAGTGGCAACCTTGAACCTTTAGATAAGTGGTCTTCACAAAACTCTCTGTCCTCTGGTCAGGAACAGCTTAGTCCCACGTATAGAAGGACTTGCAAATTTATACATGGTTCGTTTTACGGCCCAAACTCAGACCTCCGTGATTCATTTCTGTTACACAGCTCACATGCTCTAAACCACATTCCCTTATTTTCTCCTCTTGAAATGGAAGGCTGTGGGGAGAGAAGGGAAAGAGACTGAATTGGGGACAGAAGTGGTTCCTTGAAAGGGACAGAGAACAGATGGGCTTAACAAGTCATTATGGATTAAGTCCCAACTTTTTAGATGTTGGAAGGAAACTATGGAAATATTTAGCAGTTTTGTACTTCATCTCTGTTTCATCCCCCCTCCCTCCAAAGCACAGTGGTAATTTTATTAAGATAGGAATAAGTTTAAATATGGGAGAGGAGCTGATACTGAAATATGAAAGAGAAATGCAAAGCTGAGGGAAATACTATGTTGTTGAAAAAACCTATAATGTGTAAGGCTAGGGTGAGGCATTTGTATTTATTATTAGATACAGAAATTTACTTTCCTAGCATTCTATTTCCTTAAAAGGAGGAGAAATCAGCTACGGGACAACTGTTCCTTTTTACAAATGACAGTTACACTTCATATTTTGATTTCTAACTTTATTTTGGTCTCCAAATTAACATTTTTTAGTGTTTCCTTCTGTTCTGCTCCTCTGACCTACCCTGGAAAATTTGAAGAACGTTTATTTCTTTTGTTTTTCCACTCTAATAAGGTTTTAAAATTTTTTTTCTTAAACTCAAAATAAAAAAATAATATTTTCAAAATGCACGTATTGAGATTCTCATTTGCAATGAGATAACGCAATTAGAATTCATAGTTAAGGCAATTTAACTTTCTTTTTTTTCAAGTTGTTTACATTATAAATTATCTATGATTTGTCATTTATAAATTTATAGAATGTTTGTTTTATGGCTTAGACTCAGGCATCCATGACTCATTGCTAACAAACATAGTTCTTGACAATGACACTTGAGTCTAGAACTCAGAGCCCTCATCCAATGCACCAAGTGTTTGAGCTCAAATCAGCGTCACTTTAGAGGTGTGGAGAGTTAATGCAGCTTCCAAAAACTGTTTTGTTCTCCATCCATAGTCTGTGTTCTCTGACAGTTTGATGCTCAAGAGCTCATGTTGAATGTTTTGTTATTCAGTGTGCACTTTATAAAAGCAAGTCTCACTAAATATATGTAGGAGAGGAAAAAAACAAATCTCACCAAATAGCTGTTTGACAGCAAATGAATATAGTGCAATAAAACTTCATATTTGTGACGTCTTACACAGAATCTAAAATAAAATAGCTTTCCTTTCTAAGATCAGTTTTTATATTATATCCATAAGCAGATCTTTAAAAATATATATATACATTATTTCAAGCCAGCTCCTCTTTATAAAGGAGATTTTATTTTTGCCAATATGAAGTGTTCTATAACCCAGTGAGCTAATGCGAGAGAGAGAGAGCACGCACGAGAGCACGCAAAGGCAGGGGTGTGGGGGTGCAGAGGGAGAGAGAATCCCAAGTGGACTGTGTGCTGAGTGCAGAGCCTGATGCAGGACTCAATTTCACGACCCTGAGATCACGACCTGAGCTGAAGCCAAGAGTAGGACGCTTAACCGACTATGCCACCCAGGTGCCCCCCACTGAGCTAATTCTTAAATGCATACTATGTGTCAGGCACTGTTTTCAGCTTGAACGTGTTTTATTTCGTTTAATGTTTACAACAATCTTATGAAGTAGGGATTCTTATTACTATAATTTGACATATGAGGAATTTGAGTACATTAAGTAACTTGTTAAAAGCCAAACAGACAGTGATGATGAGGACAAGATTTGAACTCAGGGAGTCTGACTTCCAAACCACCACATTAAGTCACTACACTTTACTCCATGGATTCAAACCAGAGATAGATGATCTCTTTAGGAGTGATAAATGATAAAAAAATACATAAAATTTTGTGAAATATTTCCTCCATCTGAAATAGTTAAGGCTTAAAAATGAAGGAAAAGGAGTCACTTATGATTTTCCTTAACAAAGAATCATCATCTGGGAGGCAATTTTGATATTTATAAAACCTAAACTTTCCAAATTGCTAAAATGTCTGATGGTTTTCTGGAAATGAAGTTTCCTAAAAGGGACAGAGCTTGTTTAACACCAAGGCTACCACTAAAGCATAACAAGTTTCATCTATTTCGGCCACAATGATAGAATATTATGCCACCATATCATACCAATAACCTCAAAGGATGTCAGGAAACTGCGGAGATCATATACAAGAAGATGATTCAAATATTTGGGCCTTTCTTCAGAGCTTTGACATAAGTCGGGGGAGATCCAGAGGACCACTACTAATCCAGAAGATCCACTTGTGAATTCGATCTTAAAGGACCCCAAAACTTATGGTTCTATGGAAAGTTCCATTAAGTCTAGCATCCCCCTGGGGAATCTCATCCACATAAATCCTAGGACTCTGGGTCTTGCAGATTTTCTTACTGGAAGGCACTTGGGGAATTTGGAACTGGAGCAGGTTTCCCGAGGTGCCTGAATCACGGACGTTTAGTATTAGACAGAACCTTGGGAATCAGCTTGTCTAACTTTATCATTTTGCCAATGAGGAAACCAAAAAGCAGAGTTTAAAACTTTGGATGATGTCCCAGGACCTGTCAGTGATAAAATCACCAAGGAAAGCAGGCTCTCTGGCTCTCAGTTTGGAGATTTTAGTTGACTGACTTGGCCTTCATACCCATCATAGCCCCTGGCCTTTTAGACCTGTGGACATGGATCTGGGGCACTTCTTTCTCTGTCCTTTATCAGGCATCTGTGGCTTGAAGGGCCACCCTGACTCACAGTTTTGTGGCTCCGTGACGGAATGATCAACATCCTGTGAAACAGCATATAACTAAAACACAACATCGACTATGATGTACAGTACTGCTGAATATTATCTTCATGTTCTTGTACCTTCCAGAACATTGGAGAATATTGTTTATGGTTAAACAAGTCTATAACCATAATCTTCATTTTACCTATCTCTTTAAGAAGGGTGGATGGAGAAAAAGAGGATAAAAAAGTAAGTTTTCAACTGTTTACCTTACTCTCAATTTAAATGTAGATTCTGGGGAAATATTCTATTCCCAGGGATGGTCTCCAATAATTCCTACTTGTAAGGGAGGAAAAGGAGACAGGTTGAGCGGTTTCCAGGATCCCAAGAACGAAGCTGCAAATTCACTCTAGTTAGTCCCCAGCTAGCGTGGGGGTGGGGGGTCCTACCGAGAGAGCCACATACCAGGAGCAGCTGCAGCAACAACACCAGCAGAAGCAACACGTGTTGTTGGGTCTCTGGTTTCCAGGCCCTTGAGACACAGCAGGTGTTCCTTCATTTTGTGATTGCTGTCTCTTTCGCATTTCAGCTACTTTCGTACCCAACTGGCTGAAAGAAGAGAGAAAACAGAAGGTATGAAAAAATTAAAAGAAAGATCTGTTGCCTCTGCTGAAGGGAACATAGTTTAATTGGGATGGGAGATAAATGAAGGTAAAAAAAAAAATGAATAAGCTTTAGCAGTCCAATTAAAAATTTTCAAGAAAAAATTTTTAGGAGACTATCTTAAAAACCTGAGGGACAAACTTCCACCCTTATCTGCTACATAAAATGATCATAACGACGTTGTCATGTAATCAAAATCAAGTCGGTAAGGTAAAAGAGACAAGGTTGGAAAATTTATGTCTAACTTCTTTCTTTACTCAAGAAGGATTTCATCTGCTTTCCCTGGTGAACACCTCTAAATGACTGTAGCTGGGGTACATAACTTGTTTCTCCCCTGGTGTTCACTTACAGTCAGGTTCATTGAGTTTTACAAATCAGCTTGCAAGGGTTCTAACTATGTAACACTGTGAGGAAGACCAAGTTTGTTTTTGGTGTTCTTTCAGCTTCTTTTAAGACATTGCATCTCCGTCTGACTCGCCCTTCAGGGGCCGAATCTTGATCATATATATTGGCAAAGTGCCTTTTTCGCTGTTAGGAGTCCCTGTTGCAAAGGTAACACCTCCCTTCCCTCCACCGCCCCAGATGAGTTTTCATTCAGTAGAGAATCGTGGAAAAATAAAAAGTCATCAAATCCAGGGAAATTACTTTGGCGGAATGTCGATATCATGGCAAATGAGAAAAATATTGGGGTACAGGATGAACTACCTGTGACCTTATGAAGCAGGCCAAATGAGCTGTCACCTACGTATAGATGACCTAGGACTTTGTTGAGGATAAAAAAAAAAACTTTGAGTAGAATAATATCAAATATAGCATGACCTCATAAAAAAGAAATGAATTCTACTGCATGATTTTTTCAGAAATATGCAACGTATGTAAATCATATACATACAATGTCATGTGTGACTGTGAGCAATACTTATTAAAACCATCATGTACTTTGGGTTATTTTGGTATTGTGAGCTCGTGCTTTAAAAATTATGTTTTCAAGCATTGACTTTTTTAAATTGGAGAATAAGGTATGTATTAAAAATTTTTTTTCTGTGTTCACATAAGGGATGTAGTTAAAGAATTTTCATGGGCAAATGCTTATATATTCTTGTAGCATTTCTAGTTAAAAGGTTATCATAATATATATGGTATATAATCTACTTCAGAAGAAAACAAAGTCAGAGGAAAGAGTGAAATATAAGAAGCAATTAAGTACTGAAAATTGATAAAAATAATGATGTTGGACTTAATTAATGACTGGCTAAAGTAAAATCCCATGATTCTCTGTTTAGAACAGTCTAGAAATAAATTTAAGACCACATAAATTAGGGAAATGGAAGGGTTTCCTTCCCACCACTAACACTGTTTTTATATGTATCACAGTGTCCCCAGATTGTTCAATTTAAGAGTCCTTTTATCAATATCTCCAGGCCAATCAGCACCTGTGACACAGTGATCATTCCATCCTCTTTGAAATGCTTTCTTCTCCTGTCTTTCTGGGCACCACACTCACCTATTCGCTCTCTAGCTTACGAGTCACTTCTCAGTCTATTTTGTTCTTTCCTTTTCTCATCTTTCACCTCCAAATTTTGGCTGGCCACAATACTCTGTCCCTAGAACTTCTCTGTCATTTTTTTGATGAACTCATTGAGACTTTTACTGGACCTGTTTCCTGTTCAGAATTCTCAAATTTACAAGTCCAGTAAAGATGATTTTCCCGAATTCAGGACTCATCTATCCAACTACCTACCTGACGTCTCCCCTTGGCTTTCTCAACTTGCCATCTCAGGAACATGTTCCAATCTGACTCTCTTTCCTCCTCCACCAATCTGTTGCTCCCACAATTCTTCCACTTTCAGTAAATGAAAAGCCTTATCTAATTATTCAGATCAAGGGGGAAAAAAACAAAAACCTGTGGAATCATCCTAGACTCCTCTCTTTAATTCAGACCTCACATCAGCAGATCAGCAAATGCAAGGCCTCTTTATTGTTCCTTTCCACTCCCTTCTGTTTTTGCTACTCCTCATCTCATCTCTTCTCTTCCCATTCCATTCCATTCTAGTCTCAACACAGCAGCCAAAGTGAGTCTTTTAAAAATAAGTAGGTGATTTCAGCAAAGATTCTTCCACCCAAATCCACTCTAAATCTTCCAGTGGCTTCCCATTTTACTCAAGAGTCAAAGCCAATGTTTTGGCAATCTGGTCCTTTATCACTTCTCTGAATCTCCTTTTCTCTCCTCCTCGCTCACTCTGTTTAAACACAATGGCCTCCTTGCTATTCCTCAACCATGCCTGGTACAGTCGTGTGTCAGGGCCTTTGCACTGGCTATTCCCTCAGTGCTTGACTTCATCCTTACTCCTATGTTACATTCTCAGGGGAACCTTCCCTGCTATCTTATTTAAAATCACACCTCCCCACGGGGCGCCTGGGTGGCTCAGTCGTTAAGCGTCTGCCTTCGGCTCAGGTCATGATCCCAGGGTCCTGGGATCGAGCCCCGCATAGGGCTCCCTGCTCTGCGGGGAGCCTGCTTCTCTCTCTCCCACTCCTCCTGCTTGTGTTCCCCCTCTCACTGTGTCTCTCTCTGTCAAATAAAAAAAAAAAAAATCACACCTCCCTTACTCCACCCCAAGCATAACCTATCCACCCTTGTTTGTCTAACCAACTAGAAAATAAGTTCCATGAAGGTAGAGATTTTTGTCATTCTGTTCATTGTAACAATGCCGGTACATAGTAGATAACACAAAAATGTTTGTTGAGTGCTGAGTTTTATAAGCAATTTCACTGATGACAAGAAAAGGACAATAAACTCTATCACACCCAACACTGAAAATTATTAATTTCCTAGCCAGTGCAATAAAATAAGAAAAAGTAAATAAGGGTTGAAGGAAAACACACATTTTAATATTTACAAGTGATATGGTTGTCTACAAAGAAATTCCAAGAGATTAAATGAAGTTAACAGAGAAAGTTCATGGAGGATACCAGGTTAAGCTTCAAAAATCAATGTCTTTCTAATATACTACCAATAACTAATTAGAATATATCAGAGAAAGAAAGGCATCATTCAAATGAATTATAAAAATGAAAACAACTGGTAATATTTCTAAAAAAAGTTGTGCAAGAACTTTTTGAAAATATTACAAAACTTTATCAAAAAATACAAAACAAACCTGGATAGAGATAGGTTATTTTCTCAAGTGGGGAAATGGGGTATCTTCAAAATGTTAATTGTCCCAAATTATTCTATAAATTCAATATGACTGTAATAAAAATTCTAATTGAATCATTCATGGAACTCAACAAAGGGATTCTAAAATTTATGTGGAAGAATAAAAGGGCAGAAGTAAACCAAGATATTTCTGAAGACAAGAACAAGTGGTGATATCATGTCAATAATATGAAACAATAATAATTATGACAGTATGTCATTGGTACGGGAATACATAAGTAGATCAGCAGAAAGAATTTGTACAGAGCTGAGACACAGACTCAGGCATGTATGCCATCCTGGCTTAAATCAGAGGACACCTCCATTATCATTCAGAAAAGGTTCAACACGTGGTGTTGATACAATTTGATTTAAACATGAAAAAAACTACATCTTTAAGCTATAACACACACACACACCAACTTCAAATGAATTAGGGATAGATGTTACAAACAATTATAAAACTCTGATAAGAAAATATAGAAAAATGCTTTTATAGTTTCAGGGCAGGAAAAGGATTTCTTACGAGACTAAGGCAAAAAGGAAATTATTATTTTTGATATAGTCTAATTTATCAAAAACCTTTGAACAAATAAGGATAACATAAATAAAGTGAAAAATGAAAACTGGACTAGAAGATACAAAGGATTATTATCTGTAATACTGAAGTAACACATCACAATTGAAAAATACAAATAACCTAATAGAAAAATAGGCAAAGAAGATGTGTGGGCAGTTTATAGAAGAGGAAAATATAAATGGCCCAAATTAGATTAATAAATGCTCAAAACTAGTAATGAGAGAAATTCAAATAAACAATTATTCCATAACCAATTTCCCCACAGTTAAAAAGTCACAGGGTACCAAATTTTGAGAGAGGATGTGGGTAAACAAAAAGCTCTCATACAATCATTTTGAAGAATAATATTGGCTACATAACAGTGTAGCTAACAAATTCCACTCTCATATTTATACACTGTAGAAACTTTCACATATGCATACGAAGACATTAATGACAGTATTTTTAATAACTTAAATGGGAGGGGCGCCTGGGTGGCTCAGTCGTTAAGCGTCTGCCTTCGGCTCAGGTCATGATCCCAGGGTCCCGGGATCAAGCCCCACATGGGGCTCCCTGCTCCGCGGGAAGCCTGCTTCTCCCTCTCCCATTCCCCCTGCTTGTGTTCCCTCTCTCGCTGTGTCTCTCTCTGTCAAAATAAATAAATAAAATCTTTAAAAAAAAAAATCTTAAATGGGAAACAATCCATATTTTCATCTTTTCAGGAATGAATAAAAATGGTGATCTCATTATATGATGATATATAAAACAACACTTAAAACGAATAATTTAGATCTATAGATTCAGCTGGGAGATCGTAAAATAACATTGAATGGAAAAAACAGCTGTAAAATATTAAATATAGCCTGTATTATTAACTTAATTTTTGTAATTACACAAAACAATTACCTTTTATTTCCAGATAATATATATAGTAAAGTAATAAAAGCATGAACTAGAGCCATGACTTTGGATGCTTCTGGGGGATGATGATGGGAATGTGATTGGAAAAAGAGGGGATTTTTAACTATCTGATCATTTCTTTTACAAAGACCTGAAGCAGTAACAAAATATTAATATTTGTTTAATTGGAGTATTGCATGCAGGAGTATTTATCTTTTGTACTTATTTATATTTTTTTCTTCGGAACCCCCCCACCCCTCCCACATACACACATACATAAATACAATA